TGTGTCCTTTGCTGGTCTTGTCCTCTGTATAGATTCATAGATCAATTCGAAATGAAATAAGCGTCATGCACGCGAATTCACGCGGCTCCACGTGGGGGCCGTGGGGAGCTGCCTGCTCCCTGGGAACAGCAGAAGCCAATAAAACTTATCCCCAACGCACCACCCTGCTGTCTGCGGTCTCCCTGGCCCCCGCCTCTCTCCAGAAGTTTCTGGGAAGGGCTGTGTCTAGCCCAGTGCCGGGCGGAGCCGGCCTTCGCTCTCCTGTCCGGCCGTGGGGTCAGGGCTCCGCCCAGAAAGGCGGCCACAGCAAGCCACATTTGTTTACGAGTTCCCAGGGGTGGCTGTGTCCATCTTCCAGGACTGGGAACCGCTGACCTAAACTCTGAGCTCCTGGCGGTTGTGGGTGATGGGCTGAGTTACCTGGGGCAGGACACTGGTGTCTCAGCATCGACGCAGAGGGCCGGTTATGACCCTAACATGGCTTTTGGGGAGAGTAAACGAGGCAGTGTGGCCAAAGCCTTGGTGTGGACCCTGCACACACGAAGCACGCAGCAGGCGTGGGCAGAAAGGAGGATGGGCAGGAAGGACATAGGAGAGGAGGGGGTGGGAGGAGGGGAGGGGGAAGAGCAGGGGGCAACAAGGGGACACCAGGGTGGGGTGCACCGGGGAGCGGGCCCGGAGCCCTGGGTGACAGGGAGTCACCTCTACTGGAAGCCAGCTGGTGACCTTGAACAAGCCCGCCCCCGCAGTCCTCAGTGAGCCGTCAATGTCACTGTCACGGACCCTAAGCGCTGCATGGTCCCCGCTCCGGCGCCAGTTTGGGGACAGTCTGGCCCCCGTCCCCACTCGCCATCCCGCGCCCTGTGCCTCGGCGGCATCTTCAGCCATGCGAACTTCCGCGCCCTGCAGCAGGTGGCCACACGTGTCCTTCCCCCCTTGGCTGCAGCGTCTGCGTTCGTTCGGTTTCCCGGACACGCCCCGCCTCTCCCTCGGGGTGTCGTGCAGGCCGGTTCCTCGTCTCCACACGGGTCCCCACCTTTCCTCTGGGAGCCAGTCCTGCTGCAGGACCAGCCTAAACATCACCTCCTCCAGGAAGCCCTCCCGTGGCCCTGCACCCAAAGTCCAGGTGAAGTAGTCCTGTGAGGTCCAGGAGCAGTAGCGGTGGAAACTTCTGAGCGTTCGGGGGGCCCCCGCCTGCCTCGTCTCCTCCGTTTCGCCCAACACATCCCGAGCTGGGTGCTTTTCTCCTGAGGCTCAGGTTACAGGGTTCTCGCTAGGCTCCCCCTGCTCTGTCTTGCCAGGACCCTGCAGGCAACCTCGGGTGCTCCCAGCGGTCTCCGGGCTTCCCGCCCCAGGTCCCCACTGCTGACAGGCCCAAGAACTCGCCTGGATTCCGACTCCAGCATCCCAGTCCCGAGGCCCCCTGAACCCCCTCCCTGCGGGCCCCCCTCGCGGACACCTCGTCTGCGTCCTCCGCTTTGCTGTCCTTTCCTCGGGGTGCCTCCGCAGCCTGGCCCCCAGCCCCAGCCCGGCCCCCGGCCCCGAGCCCCAGCGGATCTTCCCAAACAGGTGAGCGGACAGCCGCGCTTGGCTCTCCAAGGCCCCCCGCTGCCCCGGCCCCCTGCAGGAGCCAGCGAGAGCCCACGATGCCGCCATAAACACGACCCTTTATTAAGGTACAGAGGAGGCGACATGACAGGTACACGGTGAGTGGGAGCGCCTCTCCCCGGGCGTAAAGTGCGCTGGGCCCCTCCGTGCACGTGCGCTTCCTACAGGGAGGCAACGGGCACTAAGTGGGGAGACAGAGGTTCCTCTGGGAGGAGTGGGCCCCCCAGCCAGGACCGCATCCCAGGTGGCACCTGCCCCTCCCGTCTCCGACACCTGGCCTGGAGGCAGAGAGGGCCTTCCTAGGCCGGCAGGGAGGGGGCTGCGGGGGCAGCGGGGGGCGGCCACCTGCACCCCTGGGCTCCAGCCGCTGGGCCCCCTTAGGCGCTGGGTGCTGGCCGGGGTGCTGGGGGGCTGCAGACACACCACGCGCGGGCTCAGAACCCTGCCCACAGCCAGGGCGGCCCTGCCTGGGGAGGCCAGCGGGCACTCGGGGGCTCTCCCTCCCCAGGCCGGGGGGAGAGCAGGGCTCAGTGTCATGTCTTCACAGCCTGGGGCGCCCTGCAGGAGGGGTGTCCGTGGGCGGCCCCGGAAGCTGCAGTGGCCCCGGGGGCGGGGCGCTCAGGTCCCTGAGGGCAGCGGCTGCCAGGCCTAGGAGTGGGGGGGCCTGCAGGAGCGGCAGCATGCCTTGCTATAGTACCAGTGGCCACAGAGGTTCACCTTGATGGCCAGGGCGCAGTTGGTGCCTGGCTGGTCCTGGCAGCTATCATCTGGGGAAGGAACACAGTAGGGGGGCATGGGCATCAGGACAGGAC